TCCCTGATATGGAGAAGATCCCATGACGTTCAAGAGGATCATGATACGATCAACATATACGGCACTTTGAGGTGTCCCAGCGGAGACTGAGCGCAGATCAGGGGCGACACCTCTGGGGCACGGGAATACTTTTGCCGAGCGAAACACTGTAGGATCTTGAGAGTGAGCTGCTCAATGATCTGGTCTCGTTTAACACTGCGCCTCTGGCATTACATGGGAAAAATGAGCCCACGTAGTGACATAATAGGGGAAAAAACAAACAGCGACAATAGAGAGATGATAGGCCTAGAAATAGATACATAGCAGAACACTATGCAGATGGTATCATGTGGTGCATAATATACCAGCGGCAATGGTACATTGTGCTAATGGTATATCGTATATATTAACTCTGGATGCCATCCGCCAGTGGTTCGTTCCTCAGACAATACAATATTGAATGCCGCTAGCCAACGGCGAGCATTATTTCCTCAATGTGTCGCTATGGTAGTGCACTTAAAACAAACTTTGCGGGCCTGGGTGAGCAGCATTTAGATGATTCAATTTGTCGATGATTCATTTGGAGGGAGGGCCTAAACTGCCGGCCAAACTTCCTGATAACCCCATGATCCGAGTCTTTGACGCCGATTTGCATGAAGGCAGTGCGGATACACACTCCCAAATGGAGGGCGGTTACGCACCGGGCTTATGCACCCTCCAAAAATTTTCAGATGGTTGTACGTGTCAAGCATGCGTGGATTGCCAGCCTTGGAGGGAAGAAAGTGCAACAATGCAGAATCCCGTGCGAAAAGTCGGTTCCATGCGTCATAGACATCAAACGATCACGAAATCCATCAACTCACTCCGAACCATTTATATTCGAGTCACGAATTTTCGGCCTCCGGGCCCGCATCTCCTGTGGATGGGTGGTTAGCGTGCTGGTCTCGCACGCGGTAAGCCTGGGCTCAAATCTCGACGACGGCCGCTGTTAAGTGGGTGTCTTCATGGTCTATCGGCGCGGCGTGATGATGCCAACTCGCTTCACTTCTAAACGGAATAAATTCTAAACTGGGCTTTTCATATCGGACATCACCGTAGTTTCTCATGCTAGGGGGAGGGCGTCCACACCCTACACAGTTATTGAGGATCCCGTTAAGGCTGGCCATAAATCAAAATGAGTGTGACACACTGAAAGACCAGTGGAAATGACGCATACGACGGCGGAGGCATGTAGAATTACGTTAGGCAATGGCGTGCAAAAATTCATCGGCGCGTATTCAACTGCTGCTCAAAGGCGAAGGCACCAAGGCCAATAGGGACGGAACCTGAGCGGTCATGGGTGCCGCAGGAGACCAACGCAGTGGCTCCCGTCAACAAGTATAGGGTCCTCAGAACAAGCAAAAAGAACTCAAGACCGATGTGGTGGGCCCCTAAACGATCGGTAGTGCCTCGACAGGCTGACCTACGAAGCTCCGGTCATAGCACAGGACCCTCCGAGTAAAGGGGAATTATTCAAGACTATAAATTAGTGCCCCTGTGCAATCAAGAGTGCACGGGCAGGTTAGCAACACGTGTCTGGATAGGAGTGGAAAGTCAGCCGCAAATGAGACTAAAGGGGTAGGGCCCTAAGTAACTGACAAAGAATTGGACACGCCCTAGACCGATGTAGAGGACAAATGGGCATATCGCAAGTGTGTCGGTAGGTTAACCCATACCCACGTGAAGGGCCCCTGAGCAACCGAGAATATCCCGGCAGGTTAAGGTATGGGACTCTGGTTACCGCTCACAGAGCTGTTCTGGCGAATGGAAATAATTCGTGGAAGGGTCCGTGATTGACAAGAGTTCCCTCGCACGCTAACAGGAAGGGCCCCAACAACAGTGCAGGGCTCTCTGACCAAATGCAAAGGAATAAAAGACAACGTGGAACGCCCCTAAACGACCGAAATAAACTTCTGAGGGGCATATAGGTCCCACGGAAACAGCATGGGGCCCTAGACGATGTAATGGGGCTTAAAATTTCCAGTTCACGGGTTTTTCAATCATTTAGTAATTTTTGGGACTTCTCATAGGCCATTCACTTTCGCTTACAACTGTTCTTGGTGGCCTAAAAGTCCAGAGATACCCAGTTTTGTTGTGTTTTGCATTAGAAAACTGCACCTGCTCGGCTGGCTGTGCCCCCCCCCCCCCCCCCCGGAGCCAATGGGCCTCTTCGGGGCCCAAGAAGGGGACATGCCCCTCGACCCCCTCTCTGGACCCACCCCTGCTTGTTACCTTACGTTTTTTAGGACACTTTTGTTATTTTCCACTTTTTCGCCCCTCCCGAACTCAGTTTGCCCTTGATGTCGGACTGCCGTGGGGAGGAAGTGATTGATTCTAAGCCTGAGGCGTCATTCAGGTGACCACGACAAAATCTCAAATGGGAGCACCGTAAATCCGATATGGGACCCGAAGGGCTGGCTAAAGGTCATTGAGGGGGCGCGGGTCGGACCCCCAAATACCAGCCAGAGGGCCCGCTGCACCGATTGGGCCCCGGCCTGGGCATGGGAGCCCATTGCCCAAGCAGGGACAAGGTGAGGACCCGCGATTTACATCGGTCAGTGCACCCCGAGCCAATGAGGGGCCCCTGTGTCGGCCAGGGGCACACAGTGCCTAACCGGAGGTCTGGTGTTGACAAGGGCCCCGAGTTGGTCACGAAGTGTACCAGGGTGCCTGAAGAGGGACCGATGTGCCTTTCAACACTGACGATCAACGGGCCTATGGAAAGGCTGAATGGCCGTAAGGGTCGAAAGGCTGCGGGTCATCCTGACCCGTATGGCTGTGACCCCAAATGTCAGCCAATATGCCTCTTTCGCCGATTGTGGACCCCTGGGACAGTGCGGGCACCTATTTCCGCCGGAGACCACTACACCGAATAGTTGACTCCGTGTTGTTCTGAGCCCTGGGGCCCCATTTCTCTAGCAGGAACTAAACCGAGGCCCGCAATTTGCATTGGTCGGAGTTCCTACAACAATGAGTGGTCTTTTGACGGTCAGGCCCCCAGAGTGTCCAACAGCGGGTCCTGTGACGGAAGGAGTCCCGAGTCAGCCAGAGGTGACCCGGGGCCCTTGTGGGGCCCTTTATCTCGTTTTAGCCAAGGGTCCGTTGGCCAAACATGGGTCTCTATGCCATTTATTGGATCACCTGCGGTTATCAGAGATCTTATTGCCCCAATGAGTGCTCTTGCGCCTATTGCGGGTCAAATACCCCAGCCAGAAGCTGCCGAAGGGCCTTCCGCGACAGGGAGGGCACCAATGTAGGACGTACATCTGTGAGGGCCTCCGGACGAACCCATCAGGCGAACCCGCCTCCATGTCGCCAGAATGGCAGCTGGTAGACACCTCGGGCTGGGGCGGAATGATCTTGAGGCAATTGCCCGGAAGGGTCGTGTGCGCTTAACTTTTCACTAATGCTTACACATTTGACACATCACATTACACATAATGTTTGCTTATTACACATTTTCACTTCATGTTTACACAAGTTGCTGGCCTCATTTAGATTTACGGCCAACCTTCACGGGATCCTCAATATCTCTGCAGTGTGTGGACTCCCTCCCCTTGGAGGGACGGAGCCCTCTTTATCTTTAGTCCTCCCTCCGGCATTAGAAACCACACTGCTGTCCGGTATGAAAAGCCGAATTAGAATCCATTTCGCTTAGAAGTGAAGCAAGTTGGCATCGCCATGCCACACTGATAGACCATGAAGCCACCCACTTAACAGCGGCAGTCGTCGAGATTCCAACTCGGGCTTACCGCGTGCGAGACCAGCACGCTAACCATCCATTCAGTGAAGATGCGGGCCGGCGGCCAAAAATTTGCGGTCAGGATAGGACTGGTTCAGAGTAAGTTGATGGATTTCGTGATCGCTTGATGTCGATCACGCATGGAACCGACTTTTCGCACGGTATTCTGCATATTTGCACTTGATTCCCTCTAAGGCTGACAATCCGCGTACGATTGACACGTAAAACTATCTGAAAGATTTTTGGGGGTGCATAAGCCCGGTGCGTAGCCACCCTCCATTTCGGAGGGTGTATAAGCCCGGTGCGTAACCACCCTCAGTTTTGGAGGGTGTATAACCCCGGCGCGTAACCGTCCTCCGTTTTGGAGGGTATATACCCGCAGCCTTACATGAAGCCTTTGCCATTCGATGCCGCTTGGTCGCTAACCTGTCCTCTCCAGAATACAATGACCTTAGTTCACGTCAAAGGTGTCACCAAAAATGCAGAAAATCGAAGAACAGGATTGCAGGCAACCCATGCCCCAAGGCTTTGCCACCGATCGCCATAAAACCTTCACCAATCGGTGTACCATAGGGAAAATATTCTCCTGTTTAGAATATAGTGACCTTGAGTCAGGTCAAAGATCGCCGAAGACGACCGCAAGCATCTGATATTAGTTTTAGGATACCCCCTTGCTCCGGGTCTATGGCAGCGGTCACCATGAAACATTCAACAATTGATGCGCCATAATCGATGCCCTATCATTTCCAGAACATGTTGACCTTGGGTCAGGTCAAAAGTGGTTTTGGCCGTTTTTCGTGACCTTCGCCCTGACCCAAGGTCACCATGTTCAGGAAATGATAGCATATCGACTAAAGCGCACAGATTGGGGAAGATCTCATGATCGGTGCTATGACCTCGGAGCAGGGGTTGTCTGCAGCCAATTTTGGTGGTTTGGGCCATTTTTGGTGACCGTTGGCCTGACTTAAGGTCACCATGTTCTGGAAAGGGCTTGATGTCGACTAAAGCCCTTCGATTGATGAAGGTTTCATGCCGATCGGTGTCATAGGATCGGTGTATGGGGTTGTCTGCCAACTTATGTTTCCGGTTTTTTGTATTTTTGGGGACTTTTTACTCAACCCAAGGTCACTATGTTCTGAAAAATTCAGGATATCGACTAAATGACATCGAATCGTAAAGGTTACATGTCAATCGGTGCCATGGGCTCGGAGCATGGGCCTGTCAATATGTTTGGTCGGCCATTTAGTCCCTTCCCATTTGGAGGCTTCTTGTCAGGGCAGTGGAACACCTCTTATTGATAGCAATTCATAGTTGACAGCAGTTGGTACTCCGGTCGCGGGTGGGAGTGGCGATAAATCATTCCATCAAAACCTTTTTATACCAGCGGATTGGAGCGGAGCAGTGGCATGGTGTATCTTCTGCGGTTTTAACTTTTGTGAAAACCGGAGCTGGCTGGTAGACAGCCCTTCGTAGGTACCGATTCATCTCGTTCGGGAAACGTCAATACCCATAACACAACAAACAATTTGTGACGGACTGTCCGCCCGAAAACTCAGGTCAAGATGGCTGGAAGAGTTGTGATTGACCCATCAGCAAAACATACAGCAACAGTGAGTATGCATGTATTATGAAGTGGGCACATGTCATGGGTGCATCTTATTCGGTTGGAAATCAATTGAAATAAGATTTTTCAATTTTATTTTGAGAATTTAATGTGTTAAATATGGCATTGTCATGTATTTTATGTCAAAGGTAAAACAGAGTTTGCCTGAACAGGCCCTCAACTTGATTCATGAAACCACGCCTCTGGCAGTTATGTACTTGTTTACTGATGGCAAATGTTGGGATGTGAATCACATATATATATATATATATATATATATATATATATATATATATATATGTAAACATATACCTCACATTAATGCATAGTGAATTAGCATGCATAGCAGTTAAGCTGGTGATGAAAACATTCTAAATTAATTTTGCATTTTAACTGTGAACTTTGACAGCTGTTACAAAGGGAGAAATAACACTGTTAGTATTTATGTGCCCATGACGCTAGGTATGTGTCCAATAAAGAGGATATGGTACTGTAATACAGTCTGAATCTTCAAATTAAATAATGGAAAAAGCTCATTGTTATGATGAGGTCAAAACCAGCACCTTGTTCAGGCACCATATGGCAATACACTATGCCATTTGCTGCCAAACCATTTCTTTGCTGCTTTTAAAAAAGTGTATGTATAAAAAATCATGGCTTGTCTAGACCATATTTCAACTCCCTTTCTTTTTCAGCTCATATTCCTGCATGGTCTGGGAGATACAGGGTGAGTTTGGTGAGGGGTGTCTGGAAAAATGATAGAACAGATAACTTAACAATGTAAGTTTGAGAGGTTGCTTGTATTCTATACTGGGAGAGCTTGATTTGGTAGATTGATTGCCCAACAGAGGGTTATTGCACAAAAGATTGTGCTGCTCGCCTGCACAGTTTGAGCATGCTGGGAAACAGTGGTTGTCAGCACTGTCATACAAGCATCATTTATTTTTAAAAAATATGTCAAGTTATGTAAACTGGAATGAAAAGAAGTGTGGAACACATTTTGTGCAGCATGTTCTTCATGCACTACACAAGCACAGTAGGTTCAATCAACAATATTGCTTATATTACTACACACTGCTATAAAGTTTTGTTGAAGGGGCTAGTTTTCTGTATCACACACATGGTGTCCCTGATTTTATTGCTGCTCCTTGAAGTTCGTATGAAGATTTATTTTTGTCCGCAGGCATGGATGGGCAGGTGCCATGAGCTCAATTCGTTCAAGCCAAATGAAGGTGATCTGCCCAACAGCGTAAGTTACTGCTTTTGTATGGGAGTGTTTGAAGTTGACTACTCTGATTTCTCTTGGCCATTGTCAGCAATCCAGTATTACTGAGGTTTTTATATCTGTTTTGCTATCACTATGCTATAACTTCAAATCTTCTGGAAATCTTGACTTGCCAGTCTTGCGGTGGCCCTTAATGGAATTCTCCAAGGAACTTGTAGCAATATATGTCCTGCTGCTTTGTTCATGTGCCGTTATCTCTATGTCGCAACCCTCCTGAGAGCTTAGTTTGTAACTATCGCTGTCATGTTTCAGGCCCACGATGCCTGTGACGCTAAATGCGGGCTTCCGGATGCCGTCGTGGTTCGACCTCAGATCGTTGGACGATAAGACACCGGAGGACGCTGCAGGTAAACGCAATTGCCCCGCGTGATACCAACATATATAAAGCAACTGTCCAAGTTCCACCTTGGACAGTTATTGTCGCGCCAGCAGATGATTTATGGGGTTGATAACAGCTATGACTCATGCGGCATTGCAGTGCTTTGCATATTGGCGTTCGCTTCAGTACCAACACTGGTAAAGACGTGCGACTTTGAAGGTGATTCACTTAAGTCACTTGAAATCTTGCAGTTAGAAACGTGATACGATTCTTGAGCTTCATGTGGTCCCAAACCGGGCGTGCATTTGGGCAAAAAACAGCAGTGGCATATCTCGTGTTCCATCTAGCATGCATGTCTGACATTCAAAACCATAAAATCAAGGGTGCAATCCTTTTCTGACCAACCCTTCCGTGGTCATAGCTGATATGCGTGCTCGAGCTTCTACCCGACGGCACGGACTATTCGCAAAGGGATGTGTTTCACTCAATTCATCGGGACTGTTTACCGAGTGGATTCGCTCCCTCAAGGCATCAGCCTGTTCTATTGAAGATCTTCCCGCTGCATGTCGGGCCGCCCTAGCGGACCTTTCAAGGTTGTGCAGAGCCAGCGGATCGCTGCTTGTCGGGGCACGTGAATGGCAACGCGCGTTTTGGCTCCGGACTTCCTCGCATCGCCGCCGCCGTCCCCTAGCGACCGTCTTCATCGCTCCTAGCGCTCAGGCGCTCCCAATCTTGTCGGAACGACATTGCGTTGCTAGGGACGCTGTCGCGGGCTGATGATACGAGAGACGCGTGGGACGTCATGTCGACTTTCAGTGGTAACCCAGTGAAATATGAAGATGATTGGATGGCACACACCCTTCCCCTCGCCCGTTCCGCTGGTGGCGCCGGACCTGCCGCGTCGCATCGTCGGAGATGCCCAGCTTGAGTTCGGATTGGGCCGGCCTCGCACTCGCCGCTCTCACGTCGGACGCCGCTGGGAGACCCCACGGGCGCGGCTCCGCGGCGCGTGATCGACTTTCGGCGCCGGTCTCTGCCCGGGGAGTACTGTTATCCCCGCGCGCTTGTACGGCCTCGGGGCGGTCAGCTCAGCTGATGTAGAGCTGCCCCATTAGCGACATTCGCCTGGAGTCTGTGGCCGGCGAGCGTGCTGTGTATCGATTGCGAGCTTTTGTGGTGAGCCTCCGTAGGCGCACGTTTTAGTCGTCTTGTGGGTTTGGTCGTCGCCCTTTTATCGGCTTTGGCTCGTGAGTTGGCCACAGCTGGTTCTGGAGACACCATATGAAGGGCGGTGGAGGCCAAAACGGTGGGGAGCTTAATTCCTGCGTGGAAGCTGTTTAACAGCGGTGGTGCATGCCGTTACCTCCTGCCTCATCTTGCAGTCGTATTGGGAGTTGTCTGTGAGCCGCCTTTTAACCATCATGCCTGCGCCGCACCTCATCCGGCGTCTGCGCCCCGTTTGCCGCAGGCATCCGCTCGGCCCGCGACACCATCCACGGCCTGATTGAGGATGAGGTCAAGGCCGGCATCCCGTCCAATCGGATCGTGCTGGGCGGCTTCAGCCAGGGCGGCGCGCTGGCGCTCTACTCGGCCTTCACCTACCCTAAGGCGCTGGCCGGTGTCATGGCGCTCAGCTGCTGGCTGCCGCTGCGCGACGAGTTCCCAGGCGCTGTCACCGAGAACAGGTGGGTTATGGGCAGCTAGTGGCGGTAGGTCGGCCGCAACGTCTTCGCCGAAAAAGGGTTATGTGCAAATGGTGGTCACGTTGACATCGAAAATATATGTTGCTTCTGCTGAGGCCACTTGTCATTGGCCAGACGCCGTCCTAATCGGCTACCTATGACGCCACATGTAAGGACGGTTCTATGTGTTATACGCGTAGGTGCATGCACAACGTAGTTATTTGTGCCATTGGCGCGGCGTCGGGCAACCAGGGAGCGATGTTCTGGTCGTGGCGTCTGAAGACTCGCCTGCACCGCGAGCACGCCAAGTTATGGGCTGCTGGTGTTAAAGATTGCGTGGAAAGTGTTCAGCACACGTTGACCGGTAGCGTCCTGCGGCCGTCGTCGCCGCTGCGGCCCGCTGTAGCCTCGGGGTGTGCACACTCACTGTGTCTCGATCGTGCGGCAGGTCGGCGCCGATCCTGCAGTGCCACGGCGACTGCGACCCGCTGGTGCCCTACAAGTGGGGCCAGATGACAACGCAGGCCATCCGCAAGTTCGCGCCGCAGATTGAGTTCAAGACGTACCCGGGCATGATGCACTCCTCCTGCGACGCGGTCAGTGCGGCTGGGCTTCTCTGTGGCGGGAAAATTTGCGACGCCCATTGCGCAGGTGGCAAAATGTGGTACTTGTTGCGGGATTCAGTTTGCTGGTTTTCATCTTGCCCAGTGGTGAGCCTCGCTTGCAAGGTTTTTATTTCATTTCCACCAGCTAACGTCAGATTTGCTGTGTTTCCGCGAAATGACCGATGCTGATGGTGGTGCGGAGGCGCGAGTCGTGGTTATATGGTTCACCTCTGTATTATGATGGGAGATATGGAAACTGTGTTTGTGGCACGTTTTGTAAGGATGTTTGGTGATATCCTAGTAGACGTCCTGTATGGTTTCAGAATCCATTGTCCATTTGCTGTTTATTAATGAGGCTATAGTGTAAGACCTAAGCTAAGAAAAAATTATGTGGTTGTGACCTGCATTCTTTGTTTCTCCACTCTCCGCGACGTGTTTACAATTTGTGAAAAACCTGCCTTATGCTACGGCATGTGCCGTTTGGTACGTTCTTAGTCGTATCGTGGCAAACCGTCTTGGCTCCCTGAGTATAATCGGGCGGCATCTGATTACAATGCGTCCCGTTCGCGACCGGTTGCAGGAGCTGGCGGACATGAAGAAGTTCGTGCAGACCCACCTGCCGCCGCAGTAAGGCCGGCTGAAGGCGCCGGTCGGGACTGGGGCCGCCCGTCGGTCCGTCAGCGCCGCCGCCAGCGCCGCGCCGGGCCGTCCTGCTGTCGCCGGGACGCTAGCGGGGCGGCCGACCGCCGGACGCTGGTCAGGAGAGAGCGCTGGAGGCGAGCGGGCGCGCTCAGCCCAGCGTCCGCCGGTGCCGGCGCGGCGCGCGTCTCCCTCCAGGGTATGCGAAGACTGCGTCGTGCGCCTCCCTCCAGGGCGTGCGGAAGCGCGTCTTTCTCCAGAGTATGGGGAGGCGGTGGCACCGCGTCCCTCCAGGATGTTGGGAGGCCGCGGCGCCCGCGTCCCTTCAGGATGTGAGGTGGCTGCAGCGCCCGCGTCCCCCGGGGTGTGTGCGGAGAACCGCGGCGGTCGAGGCGGACCGTGCGAGTAGTCGTAAATCGGCGGCTGTGTAGCGGATAGCGCGCGCGCTCGTGGACCCCTGTGACAATGTCGCCTCATCGTCTCCCATGCGCCAACAATCGGGCCGCCCTCGTGGCGGGCTGGACTCGACTGGAACTCTGCTCAAGTCAATCACACGTGCGGGTCTGTAAGCGGTCACTCGCTGCGGGCGGGCTCCGGCTCCTGGCGACGTCATTCCCGACAATGGATACATGTGCACCAGGCTTCAGCAACTCACCGGGGAAGGAGAAATAACAGTGACAGCGTCTTCTCTCGCTGCAGCGCGGGGGTGCGGACCTCACACTCGATATGACTGACGTCAGACGCTTAGTGGCAATCTGGTATCTAGTGCGGATGTCGTCGCGGTTCGGTTGAAGGCTTCGTGTCTTTTGTAGCTAAATGTTTGTTTCGTTTGGCGAGTTTAGTGAAGTTGAGAAGGCTTGGTCCTGGTTTTCAGGATACTTAATGCAAAAAAAAGCGTTTTTAATTGCGCGTTTTTGTGATGGTCTATGGGATGTGTGTAGAAATAGGTAACGGTTCCGCTGTATGGTTTCCAAACCCTCGTCCACACGTTAATCACCTGCACCGAAAGTAGGCTGTATGTTGTGGACTCCGTGCCTGACTTGGATATTTATCGTCAAGTGTTAGCTATACGTTTGGAACACTGAGACGCTCAGGCGCCCTTCGGTTTATTCGGAGTGTCAAATCAAGCCAGGATAAAATATTACAAAGTCGGAGCTATGCTTGTTTTGTTCGTTCCCCACGTCGATGACCAGCGATCCTCCTTCTTCTGGTGTAGACTTCTTACAGAATGACTTACGGGTGGGATACTAGAAGCCTCCTTTTCCGATAATACATCACGTTGGGCGTATGATACCTGGGTTTGTACGCTCACGAACAAGTCTTTTATCTTTACCGCTAAACTCTTGGATAGGCTTGGAAGCGTAAGTGTGCCGACGCGGGTATCAGTTGCAATCACTGCTCAAGATTGCGGGTGCTCCACTTTTCATAGGCGGTTGCATTGAAGCACAACCCGTTCGCATCGCCGCCGTCAAGAAACATTTTGAAAGCCACATCCCGGCTCAGAACATCTCACCGTACAGGCTCTATGTACGACCCTTCGCGCCGCAAACGTTGCACGAATGCTCCAACTTTACTCGGCAAGCAGAATTACAGCAACGTTCTGCAGTCTCCGCTCTCAAAAACGGGATGCGATGGGCGTAGGCCCGCAGGTCTATGGGAGGGCCGCGTGAGCAACAGAAAATAATCCTTTGAATGGAAACTCCCTGGCTGTTGCAAAAATAGCGTGCGTGTGGCGAAGTACGGCGAACGTCACCATTGCGGCAATATATTATGGCCTTGCGCGTGGTGTACCCGCGACGTTGCAGAGCCGGTGGATAGTCGTACATCAACGCTATCCTGCAGTCATTTCTATCTAGTATTTTTTAATCCTTCAGTCATGTCCGAGGTGCTGTTTTCAATGAGGGCTTACTGTAAGGTGATAATGCACACCGCAAAATACCCCCATGAATCCGTGAATGGCATCCTTGTCTCGAAGAAAGACCAGGACAGTTCCAACGTAATTCATTTTGTAGATGCGATCCCTTTATTCCACTTGTCACTCGGGCTCTCTCCAATGAGTGAAGTTGCATTGGAGCAGGTATGAAATGTTATGGTTGGTCTGGGTGTGAAGAAAAGATTGATGTGATGCATTAATAGTTTGTTCAGCTATACTATTTCTTTCTTTGAATGTCATCTGTGGTAGGTTTATGATAATTTCATGTCAGGTTTGGTAGCATATTCAGTCAACTCAAAATGTGTTTTAATGTGCTGTCCTCATTCTTGGATTGTTCTGGGTGATTGGTAGTTGTGAATAGTGTCTAACCCCCAAAACCTGGCTGTTGTCTTAATCTCGGCCACATTATTTAGGAGAGGTTTGGACCTGCCCTGAACACATCACTGCCTGTTCTAACAACATTTGCAAACTGAGATATTGCCAGCACATGAATGGCACCAACTGAGTTTTTCCCAGTGTAGCTCGTGTTTCTGTGTAGGTTGTGCGAGGGCATTTTCAAAATTTAGGCAGATGCAATGATGCTATGAAAGCAAAGTTAATGGCTGTTATTGATGAGTGACATTACTCACCTGTTGCATGCATGTTCATTCCTGGCTAAAGTCTTATTGTTATAGATAGAATTGGTTTGCATTAAAGCTGGGAGTTCAGATTCAGAGCATGTTAGTGTTTGGACCCAAAATGCAGGGTATCAACTAATAAGATGCTAGTATCAGTGTTCAGAACTGTAGAGCTTTAATCCCTATGATAAACACATATGTAATCACCAATACTTAATGATAGTGATAGAACTAGTTATCTTTAATTTTGCCCCCGTTATTGGCGGGAATAGATAACACAGCATGGTCTAATGCACTAGGTGTGGGCTACAGAAAGCACCTATTGGTGGTACAACATCAGTGTGTGGTCTCCTTTGGGGCTCATTTTCATTACACAGGTAGATGCAGATATGTATTTTGACAAGTCCACACACTATGGGTTTTACTATGCCACATCAAAAGATACTAATAGAAGAGGAAGAAGTTCATGGTAAGTTACTCACACAGACACAATGACAAATGCATGAACGTTAGGAGTAGTCACGCTGCAACCCAGAAAATTATGTTTCAGCTGTGAAAATGATGTTTCAACTGAAAGGGTGGCTGGTCATGTTCCTTGACACTACAGTAGCACAAATGATGATGATCTACCTCTCCATGTATTTGTGTGATGTCTCTTGCATTGACTTCTTGCTCTGTGATGGCAGTTGAGCTTATGTATATGTGATTAGGCTGGCCACTTAAGGAACAATAGGGGGCATTTATATTGAAGGGCTTGAATACATGGTAAGGTCCAGGAGTAAGTTCTGCAGTGTTCTTCCCTCATACTTAAAATGGGATTTTAGTTCTTCCTATTCTCTTGAGGTATCTTATGTCCAGAAATGGCCAAGAATTTGCAATGTCTTTCTTGATATCATTACACAGTGGTCTTTTGTCTTGGCATGACATTCATAACTATCAATGATGCCTCTCAATTCATATTGAATTGAGACTGTATTTCCTGCCTGGCATGCATCCACTTGAATGTACATATTTGGTAGTGCATATTAACAATTGAATGACTTGAGTGTAATGACACACATTTAAATGACACTTATGACTACCCATCTTCATATTAAGTGCTAA